CGGGAGCTGTCCGTCGTGCTGAACGCGCAGCCCGCCCCAAAGCCGCCTCCCGCCACCGGGAGTACAGCACCCCGCGGGTATCTCGTCTGCAGACAATGAGCAAGGCTGGAGGAGAAACAAAAGTGAGTCCAAACGGTGAACTACCCACTCTTTTCCAGGAAGGTGAAGTCTGCTAAGGCCACAAACTGACTTCTGTGTTTGCACCCAGAAGCAGCAGGGTATAGCTTAGAAAGAGAATGAAGCACAAGTCATTATCCTGACCCTGTTAAAACCTGTGTGCCCACTAGAGAGGCAGAGTATCAGGTAAAAACTGCATTCAGGGGATATTTCCATCCGTGTCAATAGAGAGAACATGCACCTATTAATAGCAGAAGAGGTCCCTACCAGATACTGGTGGTTTGGGTTTTTTGGTGGTTTGTTGGGGGGTTCTTTTTGGTTTGGTTTGCGTTTGGTTTTGTTTTTGCCCCCAAGTGAAGCTTAAGAAGAGAATTCAGAAATGTACACCACACACCTGCTGTAGTGACAGACCTTCAGGATGCTGTTCTTCACCTACCCAGAAAACAGGTAAGCATATTTTTAACTTTAGCTCTGGGAAACTCTTAGTACAAAACTGATTCTTTCCTAAAACACAAATTGTGTCCCACTAAGTTTTGTGGTTTGGTTTGTTTTTTTTTGGTGTGTGTTTTAGGTTTTTTTTTTTCCTTCCCCCAAAATATGCTACAGTGATAGCATATTACCTTATCCCCATAAAAGTCTAAATGTATTTTTTTGTCAATAATCATATTCTGTATCCTTGTAATTTAATCAGTTGATCGCTCAGCTCACCCACTCAACAGTAATAAGCCATTGACCCTGTGGTTTCAGACTGGATCAATGCTATGCTTAAATTTTGGACACCTGGAGGCCTTGTGTGCAAATAGCAAGAAACTCTTTTAACTTACTTTAGATGTGATCAATTTTTCCTCTGATGTGTTGATTACATTAGCAGATTGCTTTCCCTAGAAACCTTTGTCCAACAGCCTGCAAGCAATGAGCAGCATATGCTGAAGTTTCTTGCTGGAGATGGTATACTTAAGCCACTTGCTTGGGTATTTAAGGGTTTTCAGGTATAGTATATAGTCCATTGTTCTCAGTCTGATTCGCCTGCAGGAATCTTAGCTGAATGTGGCCTGACAAGTGGCAGCGTAGACACTACTGCCTACTGTGCCTCCACTACTGATGCTGTTGGCCGGGCACTTCAGAGGTTTCATACTGCTGTCTCTCTGGACATACAAATGTTCCAATCTCCAGCGCTCCCAGCTTTTCCGAAACTCCATCTGAACCTAACAGAAGCAAAGAAGGAAACAAAAGGAATGAAAGTAGAACTAATAAGATCTTTAAATGACTCCTGTAGAAAAGAGCAAGGAAAAAAATAAAGATACCAAACTACTAAGAAAAGCTGGCAATGCTTTAAAACTGCAATATTATTGCTTCAAATTATCCAATTATCTCATTAGCCCATTGTAGGCTAGTCTATATTTAAAATGATGACAGCATTCACTTTTACATGTAGAAATTAAACTCTTTTATGCACCAGGAAATCTTATCTTCATTATTTTATTCTAAATTGTATTCAGCTGCAATACTGAATGTACTTTATGCCCTACCAGTACTAACAATGAAGTTGATTTTGCTTATCAGCCCTGAAATGACTGGCTTCCAGCTCAATACTGTCACCACAGGTATTCTTAAGAGTTCTGTTTTAAATTCTGGTTTGATTTAAACAGTATTATGTCATGGATTATTTTTGTTCTTTGAATATTTACAGGTTTGTTATTCCATACAAAAATAAAGATTTATTGAGAATTGAAAAAACAACAATTAAGCACTTTAAAGACTGTACTTTCCCCCCCTTTTTAAATAGCAATTACAGGCTCTCATTCCTAGCTTTTTTTAAAGCTACAAAATATGCTCATCCAGTCACAGGTTCTGGGTTACAGTGCATAATGTCTGTACTCATTTGGAAGTTTATCCAGGGTCTTGTAACTGCTAAACAGGAACAGAATTTAGATCTTCCTGTTCCATCAGCAAAGTTCTTGACACTTGACTGGAGTAAAAACCTACATTAGCTTTTAACACATAAGGCAGAGGACATAAAATTGAACCTTTTTTTACTCTAGAAAAGGGCAAGAGTGCAACTAGAGTAATCAATTCATTATGGTGTGTACTTCAGCCTGGAAGTTGACTATAGGTGGGTCACTCAAGTGAGCCTTCTCTGGAGAGTTTTTTTTGTTTCTTTTTAGGGTCTGGTACTGATCGCCAAGAGACCAAATAGGTTGATGGCAGTTCCAGCGCAGGCTTGTCATCATACCCAGGCTGCTGAAACCTTCATACTCTGACAGAAACTTCCTAGGGAACCAGCTGCTGTATATCTGTCTTCTCTGCTTGTTCATTGTGAAATACTGAACCTGGGAAGCAGTCCTAAAAAAGGGGCAAAGTCTTACATAACCAATTGTCTTCCCTTGGTGGTTCCCTCTAGCAGTGTTTGTCAGATCTGGGCTACAGCCCTTCTACTGGATACTGTCCTGGTGGGAACCAGCTGCTTCTCTGCGTTTCTGATGATGGAATCTGTCCCTCTGGTATCACCACCAAGTGGGACAGAAGAAAAGATGCTGAGATAGAAGCTCATATTTAACTGTGATAACTGTGGGGTTTTGTGTCAAAAGCTGTACAAAGACAGCAGAAAAAGTGTCTGGGAAAGCTTGGCATAGAAGAATGAGGGAGAACAGCCTGATAAAGACAGAAGAGGAAACAGTGAAATGCAGGGACCATACTGTCTGCAGGAGAAGAATTGACTGTATTACCACCCTAGTACTTGGTACCTTTTGTGGGCATGGAAAACAGCTGGTTTAATAGGCAGCACTGGGACAAAAAAAACCAGTTGTAGATAATTTACAGGCAAATCTTGAAAGAAAGCATGAACGTACTTACTGACAGAATAAGTCAATGAGCAATAGAAATGAGTATCTCAGAATCAAAGGGAGAAAATGAGCCTTCAATCTGGCTGGACATGACAGGCTGTATCCAAGAGCTGATACAAATAGCCTGCAAGGTTGAGATTAAGTGAATGGGAAGACCTGAACAAAAGACAATAGCAGAGACAATGCCTTAAGGAATGGATCTGAATGACAGAATATTAGTTTCCTCTCCAGAGGTTAGGAAAAGGGTCAAGAGCAGCTCTGCTGTCCGTGTTGAATTTGGGTTTTTGCCTAGATGGCTGTGAATGTATGACCAAGGGAACAGGTTAAGATTTATTTTGTAAAGAGGCAGTTCTTGAGCACAGAAAAATTTTATGTGGACTATTTTGAAAGAGAGAGGAAAGACATATGAGAACTTGGAAAAGATGGTCACGGAGATTAAAGGTGGAGAAAAAGTCTCACAGAAAGCAGCTGATGGAGCTTAATGCAGCTAATGGGCAAGGATGTTGAGAGTGTGGCAATGAATCTGGAATCTGATTATAAAATGTTAAATTTTAGCAAAAGACATCTCAACAAATCCTAATGAAAGGAAAGTAGGTCTGAAATGGGATGGAATGGAGCTGGTGGAGGAGTTCAATGGATAGTCTGTGTAGAGAATGAAATGAAACAACAAAAAAAAGGAAGATTGGGCAGTAATTAAAAAAAAATTCAGGAGTCTTGGAGTCAGGACAGATTCGTTAAGGTAGAAGAGAGTGAAGTGTACTTCCATTGTGATAGGAGGAGACAAAAAGGAGAAGGACTACAAAGAATGAAACCTGAACCAGCTTAAACCTGGTGGAAGAAGGTAGCATCTCTGTGGTTTACAGTATTTTTTACAGAAAGCAACACTAACTGTAGAAAAACTGGTCACATTAAACCCAGCTCATTTTGCAAAGAACATTGGTGATAACAGGCAATCTGATGAGACCCTGCTGTTGGTTTCAGAGCAATATCAGAGAAAATCTAGAATCTTTCAGGTGAAATATGACTGCAATATCAACACATTTTAATGTTTTTCCATAAGTAGATACTAGAAAAGGACACTAATATCACTTTTAGCTTCATTTCTACTCTTGATCTGGCACCAGGACTTGCAACAAACTTTCATTCTGTATGCTTAAGGAAAAAGAAAAGCAGTCACAGACAAAAATTAAAAAATAGACCATATTGCAAACAAGGATAGTCTTCAGGCACATATGGTCTGTCAGAAGAAAAACAGTTCCTCATTTAGTTTAGGAAAAAAATGTCATATAGTTTAGTAAAGAAATAGAAAAGACTTGACCTAATCAAACTCTTTACATGGATTTATTTTATGGATACCCATGACTGGACTTGACAAAATCGTTCTCCCTTCTTTTAACAAGAGTTGGAACAAGCAAAATAATTCATCCTAGATTGTCTGTCAGCTTTCTGTGAAGCTGAGCATATTGCGGTTAGATTTTACAAATTATATTACAAAGGCAAGAGAACTGTAGCAACAAGAGATTTGGAGGACCTCTTAGAAATGTAGGTAGGCTACTTCAGAGTAAGTTCCCTCAAATGAAACAAGCCTACATGTTTCAGGATTTGTGATAAAGTTTGGGCTATGAGGTAACTTTGCCCTTGGAGGAAATTATTGGGCATTATTCATGAGAGGCCAGGCTGCAGCTGCACAGGGAATGTATAAGCAAAGGCCAAAATGAATCAAAAGAAATATGCGATGCACCAGCAGACGGTGCTGCATTTCAGGATTAAAGTACACCTGTAAATTTGTACAAGGGATTTGAAACAAATACTCTCTAATTCATGCTTGGGCAAAGCCTGCTGATACCCACCTCTGACTTTCGTAAGCAGTACAATTAACACATTCACTTAAACAAAATCTTACTCACAAACTACAAAAGTGAACAGTCTCCTGCAGGGCTGAATTCAGGATGCCTGCTGCTTTTCTGTTGACTCCAGCCTGGCCATAATGACATAAGTAAAATGTTTTCCCATTGATTCCAATTACTTGATGAGGCCTGTCTCTCAACAGGTGATCTTTAATTACCGTGTCATGTTTAAAAGGAGAGTTACCATGTGTGTAAAACACATTGATGTGCATTAAACATAATGTGCTGCCAAATTAGTAGTATTTGCTTCCTTTGCAAACCTGGCTGCTGAATGAATGAATAATAAGAATCACTTAGAAGGTAACATGAGAGATTCCTGCAATACCGAAACAGAACAATATTCTTTCCCTCAATAGGGCTGGGATTCAGCAGAAGCCATAGAAGATGGTACTTGCAATCAATTAACTCAAAGCCCTGGCTACATTTCTTTTGGGCCTGTGGGAAAGCTTGCCATTCCACAAAGTTCAGTTTAATGAGAGCGTGATGATGTCCTCAAGTAGCTGGGCCACATGGAAACCGAACACAACTAAACTGTACAGGTATTTGCCAAGAGGGCTCTCCAACCTCACCAGCCAGCTGAGCTGAAGTCTCAAAACATAAGGAGCGCTACTCCCACATTCACCAGAACAAGCAAGTAAGAAGCACTATGAGACAGATTAAGAGCAGTGGCTTTAATTCTTAATAAAAGCTCCAGCAATGCAAGCTATACAATTGTGAGCAAGACAACTTGCAAGATTTCATGTTTACAAATCCTGGCCCTAAATTATACTGCCTGAATTCCTTCCAACAACATTTATCTGAGGAGTTATCCTGTGTAGCTGTACAGAGGAGGGTCTGTAAAAAAAGTAAAAGTCTTGAACAAGAACAATTCAGCAGTTCGAGACCATTTTCAATTTCTTTTTCCTATACTGGATGCTGATAAGGCAAATTGGAACAACTAGTGTCTCTCTTACCTCATTATTGATGAAACAGTAGAGAATTGCAACCATCAGCCCCTGAAATCAACAAAAACCAGAAGAGCAGTGAGCAGAGCAGTTCCCTCGCTTTGCCAAACAAACTTGCAGAGGGCTAGAGGCTCCACACTGCTTTGTCCCATACCAGACTGAACAATGGAGACAATCTGTGGTCCCTGTCAGCTCTGATGGCAGAGAGGTTTGACCAAACTATGTCTCAAAGCACATGATCTTAGGAAAAAGGAGTTACTGTTTTCTTCAACTTGATATTTTTTTCTAAAGATTCCTTTTCCCTTCTTTTTCCTTACCTGGATTCAAGTTATAAACACTTCATAAACAAACAATTCACAGTGATCTTAAATACAGCTCTGTACTTGATAAACAGGGAATGAATAGGTGAGCAGGGAAACTAGAAGAATAATGATTCCCTTAGACAAGCAGACTCTTTTGAAATGGCCTTACCTAAGGAGCTAAATAAAAATCACAGTAAACCTAGATCCTCCTCACATGCAGTTACAGCTGTAGACTGCTACCTCTCACAGGACAGATTTTCCAAGGAGTATCAAAAACCACTGGAGAAAGCACAAAATTTGCTTTCAGCAATGCTATTATATGATTACAGGAAATTACAGACAATTTCATTTTGCCTTGATAGATATTAAAGTAGATATTAATATGTGGATAGGAGTACCAAATTATTGTGGTAAATTTAAGACATTGAAAATAAGAATATATGGCACTAACATCTAAGTTGGCTATTAAAAATTAGTCATCATACTTTCCCTTCCACTGTCATAATCCTGTAATATTCAGTGCTAAATTGAAAAATATAAAGAACAGGGAATGTGCAATGAATGAGAGAGAAAGCAGGTCCCCACAAAGCAGTCAAAAAAATATCTTATCCACATGGGCACAGTGTGAGTGCTACCTGGAAAGAAGCAAAGGAGAGTTCAGTAAAAAGCTTCACAAAGCGCAGCATCCCTCTGGCATGCTCATCAGTAATAAAGGCAAAGATGACCTCATGGGTTCCCAGCAGTGGGATCAGAGTCAGTGTAGACTTGGCCAGCCTAGGATCACAAAGAAAGAAAAAAAAAATGCCACTGAGTAGATCACTGTTGATCCCGATGATCACTGGGAGCCACTGTTTCTGCATTCTGCTTCTGACACACTGTCAACTTTGGTAAGTCACTGCACCACTTTGCGTCACAGGGTTCTCCTCCAGAGGCTGCAGAAAAAAAATAATCCTCAGAACAACCTTAGTAGGTTTCAACGTGTTTTAACTGCCCCTGCCACTCCGCTGCAGAACACTTCCTACTGGCTATACTTCACCTGGAAAATCTGCTTCCAAACTCAGGAGGAGGCCATGTGCTTTCTTGTACCTGATGTGTCATCTTCTGTATCCTTTTCCCCATCTGTAAGTGGGAAAGATAACCAAAACCTACCTTGTTGACGCCCTGAAAGAAGTAATTTATCAATAATTGGAATCTTTTAAAAATAGCTTGGCAAAGGGAGGAGTGTTTGCTATTCCCTCCCACCTCTGTGTGCATTAAATCTTCAAAACATTGTAACTAACCGTAACTGCAGGACACTATCTAAAGGTGAGCGATGACTCCATGATTTAAACAGCAAGTTCAAAGACACAGCTAGCAAAGGAAAAAAGACAAGCCAACCTGAAATAAAACATTTTTCACCTCAGAGAATACAACCTCAGGGATATAACCACAGGAAAACATTCACAAGAATGATCCTTAACTGTCTTTTGATAGACAGTTCTGGGCCACAGAACCTGTCAATGTCTCACAACAGCCTGTCTTGAGACCATTCAGTAGGTACAAAATCACTTGACTAGCAGAGATGTCAGTACTTAGACAGACTTAGGCTGTTGGCTGCTATTCTGAATCATGTAATCATTCAGGTTGGAAGGGACCTCTGGAAGTCTCTGGTCTAACTCCAGCTCACGGCAGGTTACTCAGGGCTGTGTCCAGCCAAGTTTTAAATATCTCCAAGGTCCTTCACAGCCCCTCTGGGCCTCTCTTCCAACATCAGACCACTCTCACTGTGAATTTTTTTTCACCTCTGACATGCAATTGGAGTTTCTCTTGCTATAACGTGTGACCTCTGCCCCTTGCCCTTTCACTGTGCACCTCTGAAAAGACTCCAGCTCCATCTTCTGTATAACCACCATTAGGTAGCTGAAGACTGCACTTAAATCCTTGCTTAGTCTTCTGTTCTCCAGACTGAATAAGCCCAGTCTTCAGCACCTCCTGTGTCACCTGGTCCAGCCCCCAAACTAGCTTGGTGCAAAACTGATGCAAGTCCCGTGGGGTTGGAGGCGCAGGACACAATGTTTTTCTTGTATTGGGGAGCCTCAACCTGGACACTAGAATCAGTCTCACGCACGCTGAATGGAGGGGATCAGTCACCTCCCTTGCCCGTCTGCCTATGCTCTTGCTAGTGCAGCCCAGTACGCAGTCAGCCTGCACTGTCACAAGGGCACACTGCTGAACTGTGTTCAACCTGTTGTCCTCCAGCATCCCCGGGTCTTCTCTAAAGTTGCTTCCTCCCCAGTCAATGCCCATCCTGTACTGCTGCATGGGGTTATTACATACCAAGTGCAAGGCTTCTGTCAGCCCATCCGCTGGGATGCCGAATCAAAGCAACTATTGAAGTTAAACAGTTTACATATACAGGTAAGCAGAAATGCAGATCTCTAGTGGGCCTAGGCAAACCATTGCCTTAGGGGACAGGAGGCTTGTTTAAATGAGCTGCTTATCAGCAAGCCTTGTGATGGAGGCTCTGCTCCACCACCACCTCCCGAGATAGAGCTAGAAGTGGGAGGCTGATACTGAATTGGCTGTGGAAACACCATCTGGGTAAAAAACAAACAAACAAAAAAAAAACCAGTTGTGTAGGTGTACAGCAATCCTCTAGCTTATTTAATGAATTCTAATTGTTCTAGATGGGATACTTGGAGAGCTCTGCCTTAAACAGGAAGCTATGCAAAGTCCTATGTAAAGACTTCCTGGGTAATTAAGATCTCCCTAAAGAAAATTCTTTCCCTGAGCAATGGGTGAAGTTTCTCCACAACTCCACTCCTTCTGTAGAGAAAAGGGATTTGCTGCCATACTGAACAGTGAGCTTGCTCTCTCTTTGTCAAAAGAATGGGCAACAGGAGAGAGGTGAAGGAAAGATTGGCCTGAGAGTAAAACACTTTTCTCCTTTCTATACACAAATGTATCTAAGTTTGTGACTTTTTAAGGGCACCTAGACTGGTCCTTGTTTAAAATAACACATTTCAACACAGCAGTTCTATCCTGTCTCCACCCAAAATCTTTTCCAGGGTCTTTGAGCAGAAAAGAAGGAACGGGGGAATCCGATATAGGAATCTCTGACTATTGCTCTTGTTATCATCAAAAGCATACCTATGAACTGAACTCTTTTGAGTAAAAGACTTCCTCAAAACTTCTGGCTATAACCACCAACCTCTGGACAGACCACTAAGACTAGAGTCTTCATCAGTGAAGAAGGCTCTGTTGCTGGGTAAGCCTTTCTGATAAAGCCTTTCTGTTTACACAGCAGATTTTTGAACATGCAACATGAAGAAGTGAATGCGCCTTTGAGAAATGGCTCACCTGGATCAAACCTTCCTGCTGCTTGCAGGAGTCATGAGGGCAAGGGCTTTCTCCCTTGACAGGGTAAATTTACAGTCAGGCTTTTAAAAAGCTTCAGGCCATCAGAACTGGAAAATCCCCCCCTCCTTCCACCACTGCAAATTTTACCCTGGCAAATAAAGGTCACATATT